GGGGGGATTGTCTAAAATTCATCATGGCTTTTCAGCATTTCTCTTAGGGGGTGTTTTTTTTTTGAATTTTGAGAGATAAGAAAGTTGGTCAATAGGAAATCCCATCTTCTTTTTTCAGATTTATGTGGAGACTAGGGAAAGTTTATTTTCTTGGGTAAGTGATACCCATTCCCTACGTGGGTATATAACTTTCCCATCTTGGGGAAAGTTACCAACACTTGAAAGGGACAAAAATGTCCCTTGTAATAATGGACTTTTATGGACAAAATAGTCATTACATTTTTTATAGGGAAATAAAGGAACATGGGTAAATGCACTTACCTGATTAAATCTTTCTTGGAAAACAATTAACTAGGTAAGTGCATTTACCTGGGCAGGGGTGGAGCAGGGGGGACCCAGGGGAGCCATGGCCCCCCTAATGCCCAAAAATCCCCACTATTTCATGTAAATTTCCCCCTCCCCCATTCCCCACTCCAATGGGTTGGGCCCCCTTATGACCATCCATATTTGTTCCTCCCCCCTCCCCCCAATCCATCTTAGGTTTAGGTCCCCCTCATGAAAATTTCTTAGCTCCGCCCCTGTACCCGGGTAAGTAACTTACTGAAATGCGAACGGAACCTTAAATTCACTATAACTTTTAACGTCCACGGAACCCTATGTCAGTTTTTAGGACCAAAGTGTACATTTCTCTTAAATTCTCTTAGAGCACCGTTAGTGTACATTGGACATAAGTTGCCCATGTCACCATAATTGCAATTTTTATGACCAAACTGCCATAAATGTCAAGTCAGCCTTATTAAATATATTTTTTATGACTAAAATGCCCTTAAGTGCCCAACTGTCTTATATATAAGATTTCTACTTGTTGAGAGACGTTATGCTCTCATTGTGCTGCTTGAAAGTATTCCAAGGAAATTGAAAATTGGTTTTTGGGTCAAATAATAACAAGGGTATTTCTGAAATATTCAAAAATAGGTCAAATATAAAAAAGAGTAATATGGTAATCTACTAAAACCCGTTAGTCTATTTAACGTCAAGTTACTGAACATGGGTTCCCTGGACGTTTTGAAAACTCATGGTGTGTTCAAGAGAAATACTGAAAATTCATGGTGATTTTAGACAATTTCCCCCTTTTTTTGGAAAAATCATCCCTGGATTAAAGCCTATGTTGAGGGTGACCACTATGCTTACCATGGTTTTTAAAACTGACCCGATGATCGAATCAGTCAGAGGTCCAGTTACTAGGTTGAATGATCCGATTGTTCGAATCGAATGCTTGGCCTATTTTGACAAAAAAAAAAAAAACAGTCAAAACCGTTCGAACAGTTAACTGCCCGATTCAGCAGTTCGCTGACCATAATCAACGGTTTTGAAGAGAAATCCGGTTTTTCTAGTCCAACCGTCCGATCCGATCCGATTTTGAAAACCATGATGCTTACTATCCCCCTCAAATTGAAGTAATAAAATCCTTATTAACAAAATAAAAATTCCTCACACCAACCTCACAGCATATCATGGCCACACATTGGGAATATACTGTACTTATATTTATTATTTATGAGGAGATATTCTCAGTACACTGTGGAATGTGGAGCTAATCTTTCATCTTTGGCCGATTTTTTAGCAATAAAGACTGAACATGTACGATTCGGAAAACCTTTGGCTGTTTGGAAAACCTTTACCTAATTGGCTAATTCAGGTCCTTATTTGTATTTTAAATTAAAAAAATATTAATTTTACAATTATTCTTTTATCCACCCTCATGATAGCATGTCTGCTTGGACCTTGGAGGCTCTTACAAATTGTTTTCTCAAAGCAACCAAAACTAAAGTTGAGACAAAATCTATGGTCCATCCATGGTTTTCGAACCATCGTTGATTCAAATGGTCGGGTAGTTCAGCCTGGGAACCGTTTAATAGGGGTGTTAACGGTATTTGAAAATCCGATTTCGAATTCGATATTCAACATAATTGAATTGAATTCGGATAATTCAAATATTTAATCGGTTGAATTTAGATATCTTATTTTTATCGAATAATTAATCAGATTCAAATTCAGATATAACCTGATTCGATCCGATAAATATCTGAATTCGACCGATTATTTAATTCTTATATATAATATAAAATATTTTATATAATTTATATATAATATTTAAGTTATATAAATAATTTATATATTTATATACTTTATATCAATAAAATATTTATTTTATATATTTATTAATTATCTAAAATAATTAATTAATCAAATTTGAACATCAAATTTTCTAATCGGATTCGAATTTGGATATTGTCTGATCCAATTCGAATTCGATCAGTTTACACCCCTACAATCCAAGCAACCAGTTCCGTTTTACCCTAAACCTGATCCCTAGTAAAAAACCATTGAATCGATTAACAATCCATTGACTCGGATAATCAAACCATCAACCCGTTCAACGATTTTTATCATTTTTAATTTTAATTTTTATTGTCAGAATGAACCATGCATTCAAACCAAACAATCGAACCGTCAACCCAAAAACCGATGGTCAGAATAATTCCATTTCTGAATCGTTTAAAACCAAGAAGATAATGGTAAAAAATGTCATAGTTGAACAAATTTTGAAAATATATTTTTCAAAACATAATCCAATGAAAATTAAACAAACTTTCAACGTGCAGCGAATATTAATTAATGTGCTAAAACTCTAAAGTTCAACATATAATGAGTAGACATCATTATCGTTATCATCAGCGTTGTCATCGTCACCATCATTATTATTGTTATTTTGACACCTAGCGGCAATGAGTGTACTCATCAGACATTACCATTTTTAGGAGACATTGAAGACATTGACCAATTATACAAACTCAATCAGACTTTTTTTTTTGAAAAAGCCCTTTTTTAAACTATTTAATCAAGAAATCTCGGTTACATCAGCATCCAAACTGGACAAAGGAAATCGGGTAATATGAACCAAGTCCTTGTATTATGAGAAGAAAGAGCAAATTTAGTCAATCCGTGAACAGCAGCATCATAGGACCTAAGAGTAAAGGTAACTGAGATATTAGGAAGATGAGCTAAGTAACTTACGCAGTTGGTTATAAGCGTGAGAATGCTCCATGGAGGGTGAGGGAGTTACTTCAGTAACTCTGGAAGTTGGTTATGAGCTTGA